TGAGAAAAATCACTTACATGGTGAGTGATTTTTTACTTGATTAGAGATAAACTGCCATATTTCTAAGTACGTCTTTTATGTTAGAAAAGAATTCCAAAGAGATTGAAAGACTTAAGTCTGTTTATAACCCAATTCAGCATTTAAATTTAATAGATTCATATCTCAATATGTTCAGACGTATTTGATAATAAAAAATTGAACATATGAATTAATTAAGTGGCATTGAATTTTCTAAACAAAACTTACTCCAAAAAATAAGTGATAAACTATTTACTTATCACTTAATATGATATGCACTCAAATGTTTCAGATTTAATACTTAATAATTCAATAATTTAATGAATTTAGATTTCAGATTTTAAATTTCATTTTTCAGATTTCAATTTTAACAAATGCACCATTAGCTCTTTGGTACTACACTACACAGAGCAGATGGTACTACATATTTAAAGTAAGGTTTTAACTTAAATTTAAAATCTTTATGATCCACATCACTTAAAAGTAATGTTTCAAATTAGTTTAAGATTTTAATGTTAACAAAATCATAAACCTCACTAAAAGACTAAAAGTTCTACACTTCTTGATGGAATCAGCAAATTTTGTTGTCAATGAGTAAAAATTTTTGTAGTATGGACAATGTGTAACATTATGAGCGGAAGTGCAACAATAATTAAACATTACCAAACACCCTACATCATTGTTCTAAGATAAAGATTTTGATATTTTAGCTAAGTTTAGTAACTTAAGAAGAATCATGTATTAATTGAATGTCTGCCAAACAAAGAAACAAAATTTTGACTTGAGGGAAACTTTTGCAAGTCATCTACTTTAGATAGCTCCCCGTAGCGTAAAAATTTGATTAGATAGATCATAAACATAGTAATTTTCATCTTGAGGATAATCTAGTCGTCTTGAGGTAATAGTTTCTAATTAGCATCTCCTATCGTGACTTTCGACAAATTTGTTTAATAGCACTTTCATGATAAAAAAAAAAAAAATCCTAACTTACAACTCAATTGAAAAGTGTATGTATTTCACGTACTTTATTTTATTATTAAATGTCTTATAAATACTTTTATTATACGATTAATAATTGAAATATTTGCTTATCTTATCTTAATCTTCTCATCTATTTCTTTGTTTTATTAATCAAGGTGAGAAAAATATTTATCACAAAATTTTCATTCCATAATGAAATCTCAAACAACATTTTGTACATCTTTAAATTTCACTAATGCAAAACCTACTCGTCCCTGTGGCAATTGAAAGAACGCTTCTAATCATCTAGCATCAACTATTTGTTTCACGCGCGCGATGAGGGGCGAGTGGTGCTAGAGACAGCTGGGGTAATGGAGTTTTACGCTAGGAAGTCATTTGCTTGCCTTAGCACATGTGGGTTGGTTCCCTTCCCAATTAATCTACGCAAGTGGCGATCTTCCACGTGGCGCCGCCCCCCCGGGCACTGCACATCACTGCAAATCTGTTGTACACGCGTCTCTGTGTCTCCCTTCCTTCTCCTGACAGTTCATGTGTGAGACCATCTAACATGTTTATTTTTTGGGTGATAATTTCAGAAACCTCCTTGAGGTTTCTAACAAGTTCACTCGGCTCCTCTCAATTTTAAAAATTATACTGACCTCCATTGATATAGTAAAAATACCTATAATACCCTCTACTTGGTAGAGAATTTTAAATTGAAGGCAATAAATTTACAAAATCCAAAAAAATTATTTTTCTGTTTCTTGTCTATTTTCGCTCCTCTTTTTTCTAATTACTAAAACCTCTTTTTATTATCTTTGATTTTGTGGATATTAACAAATGGAAATTACAAAATTAACAGAGGAAGCAGATTATGTGTCAAAATGGAAGGAAATGAAAAGACTCGCAATAATAGAGAAATAAATAATGAAATTGATGATTGAAATAGGAAGAATAACTAAAGATGTGAAATTTGTCATGTTTTATTTGTTGTCAAGAAAATTTTTTATAAAATGTCAATAATTACATAAGGATTTCTTCAATTGGATTAGAAATTTTTTATTATGATTTTATTATAGAAATAGAATTTATTCTTTGCTTTTGAGATATTAATTTATACTTTTAAGGCCATATGAGAGCTGTAATTGTGGTTCTAAGTCAGAATAGCTTGTATTGAAAAAATATTTGAGCATTGATATTTAATTTTGGGATACAAAATTGGTTGTCGATGGGGTTTGTGTGTGTGTGTGTGTGTGTGAGAGGTTTTTTTTGTGTAGCAAGTATTGATACTGTATATGCAATTTGAAATCTTTTGGATAGCTACTTAGTTTTAAAACTTGTGCTTAGATGATTGTTAGGATTTATACTTGTTGATTTGTACAAAGTGTGAAAGAAAATGATTGATTATACTATATTTTTCTTTCTTAGTTTTATACAAAATGGCAATTTAAGATTTTAGTAAGAAAATCTATCTTGTTAGACTTACATTATTGCTAAACAGTAGAAGTATGAGAGGCATATACAATTTTTAAAACTTGAGAGGAGCTCTTTATAATTGTCAAAAACCTCAGGAGAGAGTTTGTGAAATTATCCCTTATTAGTTAGGTATGCTCAGGGAAGTTTCTTGATTTATGGGTGGCCATTGAATCACACAAGTAACCTCTAGATATTTTTTTTCTATACTTTATGAGTTTTTCGATTTCATGAACTGAGGTTACACAAAAAGAATTGGGTATGCCGTTAATACCCCATTACACAAGTAACCTCTAGAATTTTTTCTATGCTTTATGAGGTCTTTGATTTCATGAACTGAGGTTACACAATAAGAATTGGGTATGGCGTTAATTTCCCACAATATAATCTACTTTGAAAGTGTATACAGTTCAGGCTTGAATAGTAACTTCAAAAGTTTAATGGTGAGTTCACTCTCCAATAGGGAAAAAAACCGCAATGGATCTTCTGTCCCACACCCTGTGTCACTCTCTGTCCCACTTTTTATTATATTGTTATTTCTCCTACATAAACATCACGTTTTAGTTCTTTTTTGTTTCTTTAAGATCCAATAACTATTAATTTGACAAACAAAAAAAAGATCCAATAACTATTAATTAAGTACTACACAAAATTTAACAAATTCAAAAAACCAAAATGCATAAAAAAATGAGATTTTTTATGAATTTTCTGCTGTATTTTTTAATTTTCTATTATATATTGCTTTTTTGAAGCTACTATATTTATTTTTTACGCAATTAATAGTTATTGGATCTTAAGTAAACAAAAAAGAATTAAAACGTGATATTTATGTAGGAGAAATAGCAATATAATAAAAAGTGGGACAGAGAGTGGCACAGGGTGTGAGACAGAAGATCCGTTGCGGAAAAAAACCCTCACCAATCATTAGTTTAATTGCTAGAGATATTAAGTAGTTAACAAAACCGTTCCTAAATAGTGTAACATAGTTATAATTAATTAATTGTTAGTTGCTTATACAAACTCGTAATAGGAAGGTATCTATTATGTATAGGGTTTATACGAAGAGTAATTAAACATCGTATTACTGTTTTAAAAGTGTTCAAATAGTTAATAACGAATTATAACTTGTTAACCCCCCCCTCCCTTTTTACAAAAACTGGGAAAATGTTAGTAGGATTAAAAATATAATTAGTTGCCTTGGTTCTGTTTGAGTTTAACTAATTCACGACTCCCAAATTATATATCACTGAACTAAACTCATTTTGACTCCGCCAAACTCTAACAAGTGAATGAACAGTTGTTTGAATCAACCTTCAAAATGAGTGGTTCTAATTAAAGATTTGAAGTTGTTTGAAGTATTCAAGATTCTTGAGGTAGAAATAGCCACACTCCATACCGTGCATATAGACAGGTTACATTTGGATTAAGTCAAAAGAGTTTCATTTTAGAGGGGAACTACAGGATTATAAGGATGCAAATTGTTCATTCTATCGTAATGGTAAAGCTTTACATGATATATTAAATTTAACTAAAAATTTTGTCCGAGTTTTAATCTCAATATTCTTTGCCTATTTATCCTTTATTGCAAAATTAATCTCAATATTCTTTGCCTATTTATCCTTTATTGCAAAATATTCACAAACCTTTTCTACTGCAGAATCCTTTACTTGTGCAAATGCAATTTTACATTTAGAGTTCACTTACAAAAAACGACTAAAATTCATGATATTTTTAAGGGATAGACACAAATATGAAAATCTCTCAAAAAACTCCATTTGGATTGGCTATTTTTTCAAATACAATACTACAATAATACACAACAACTCAAAAAACATTTCATCCATACAATATATCAAATATTTCAAAACATTTTTATAGTAAAATTTTTTCATATACACTGTTACAGTAAAATTTTTCAAAAATATTTCTAAAAAATAGCTAATTCAAACGGAGTCAACAAAATAGACTATTTTTTAATTTTAATTTGTTTTCGTCGTACGTCGCCTAGTATAGAAAACTTTTCTCCTCTCACGTCTCTTTTCAGTTATCAAATCATCCACAATGAAGTATAGGTAAACTCTACTATTTCCACTACTTCCTAAAAGGATATGAACTCCATAACATATACCGCCACTCAAAGCTAAGGAAAACACGGCATGCTCTAATTCTACTGTAGCACATATAACTAGTCATATAATATTGATGTAAGGATATTTCAAGAAAAAAAATAAACTAAATTTACTCTTCTAACACCATTAACTAATTTTTCTTATACCGAGTCCTAAAAAAAAAAATCAAGACTAACAAAGCGAAATTGAGGGAGTATGTGTTTTGAGAACTTGACAAATTATTGGCTTATACAATTTGTGAACATTAAATCCAGCTAAAACACAACATCAATTGGCAGTTCAACTCTAATTGCTGTGGTAATCATGGTACTTTGTTGAACTACAAGCGTTTAATTGACATTTAATCAAACTTTTCGGTCTTTAAGATAATTTTAAAAAAGTAATTGCTGACAAAGGTATGTTCAATATTATTGACTCCATAATTCCCGGTGTCATATACCAGTAACGCTTTTACACCCCACTCCTTTTCCACTTTGTATCTTTCATCAATATCTTCTTCACGTTCTAGAGTGGCTTAAAGCCTTAAACCCTAGCCGCTCCCTCGTCTCTGGCATCTCCTCTCCTTAAACCCTACAAATATCCTCTGTCTCAGGTATAAATCATTTTTTAGTCTCTCCTTTTCTTGTCCATTTTCTGGGTTGGTCTCCTTTTGTGAAGTATGTCTTCTTTTTTTTTCCCCTTCAATTTTCTCTTGGTTCTTGATGGCATTTAAAAACCAGAAAAGGGAAATGTAAAAAGAACCATTTTCCCTTCTTTTTTACCTTTTTATCTTTGGATTCGTTCTTTTATGGGTGATCTATAGATGGTTTTTTTTAATCTATGCTTATTTATTACGTTTTTATTGTGTTTATAAAAAGTTTTCTAGGATTTTTGCGTTTAGATGTGGTGTTAAGGTGTAGGTTTGTGATCAAATGGCTACAAAATGAAATCTTTTGATGATTCACTGTACTGCGTTGTGCTTTTCTTGTCGATTTTGTGTGTCAGATTTATGGGATGTATGATATGTGTTTGTGATGTATCTCTGTAAAAGTTTTGCCTTGTAGAAAAAGTAGAACAGGGTATCTTTTAGTTCTCTTTATATTCGATGATCTGTGGAATAATTTGTACTCTTTTACATTTCAGTCTTAAAAATACTGATAGGTTCTTTGTTTTCGGTCTTTGTAGGATAACATTTTTTATGATTTTCTTTGTATTGTAGTTGTTTCTGGCTTACTCAAATGAATTAAAACATTAAATAGAGTGATCAGAAGTTATTTAGCCTCTTTCCGTAGTAAGGATGGGGAGTCGAGGTTGGAATGAACGGCAGGATTTTCTGGTCAAATTTGATTTTGTCTCCAAGAAATGTTCTTTTTGTGATTGTTGGTTGGAATGAATGGTGTGACAGGGGCACTAGTTAGCCATATGCTTTAGCAAATCTTTTATTGTTTTGTATATTTCGGGTTGGTTGTGTTGTTTGCTGGAAAATTGATTTTGATGCAAAATCTATGGTGGATTAGATGCAATGAATATGCCTGATATTGTTTGCATATGTTGTCGTTTGTTAGAATAAAAGCTCATTTTTTTTAATTGATGTATGTTCTCTTTGCTCACTGAAATCTTACTGAATAATTTGTAAAAGCAGTGAATTGTTTTCATAGCAAAGTTCTTGCCTTGACATATGAGAGACTTGAATCCTGATCAATAATCTGAACGTTTTTTGATATGACCTGCAACCATCACCTTTTATCATTACGATAATCGCTTTATTACTGACAATGGTACTCTGAGCATTGGATTTGACGTATTCGACATGGCTACCTTTTTTTTTTTTAATTCTTTAGTACATTAGTGGAAATGGCATTCTACAACAGAGTTGGGAGCCTTCTCAGGCAGAGCTCAAAAATTAATTCATCGACAGCACCAGTTCCTGTGTCATCAATGCTTAGTTCGATCCGATGCATGTCCTCGAAGCTTTTTGTTGGTGGTAAATACCTTTTGTATGTTTGACACTGATTTTAATTAACTTTTGCTTAGCTACTGCCTGAACTAGAAACCTTATGTACATTTCTGTGTATCTTAATATTTGTTTCTGTGTTAGGTCTTTCATATGGAACTGATGACAACTCTCTGAAAGAAGCATTTTCTGGCTTTGGGGAGGTTGTTGAGGGTGAGTTGTCTTGCGTGACTGCTTTCTATGCTCTGTTGTTATTGAATGCCCTGCAAATTAGTATTCAATTTTGAAGATTATCCACATTCCTCTGCATTAAGATATAATTTTTGTTGTGTTCTGATATAAGATCCTATGTGTTCTTTGGGGACATGTTGACTTGATGTAGTTGGAAAAGTTATGGCTGGACCCGAGTAAGATGGCTTTTGCCTAGGATTGTATCTGTTTTGATATCTCATTTTTGCACTGAGGTGACTTATATTAACTCTATTTGCTAATGCATAAAATTGATACCCGCATAACCAAGGCTATTAAGTATGATTTGAGACAATTGCCTTTTCAGTGCTTTATATGCTGAGAAGAAACAAATTGATTAATTTTTGCATGCTATTAAGTATGATTTGAGACAATTGTCTTTTCAGTGTTTTTATATGCTGAGAAGAAACAAATTGATTAATTTCTGCATGTATAAGCTTTTTCTGAGTTTTCCCTTGCAGTAGACAGGTACCATGTCTTACTCTTCCTTGGGCTTTCTGATAATGTTATACATTTGCTAACTTGCTTAACTGCACCATTTAACATGAAACTTTGATAAATTTTCTCAGGTTGCCTCTTGTATTGGGTTGCATTTTTTTACTTCATTTTGCATGTTTCTCGAATTTCCTTGATTGTTGTTGATCTGGTGTAGCATGGACATTTCTTAATATTATTTTTTGTTCCTTTCCTTTGCAAAGGATCTGCGCGATATCTGGTTGTGCTTTTGTGGTCTTTCAGGATTGATTTGAGTTATTGAGACCAATTAATGGCTTTGCACCAGTGGGTTATTTAGTTATTTTTCTTACTTTTGGTTGCTTCTCTTCTGAAGAAAGGGATTGCCAATTGGGCAAAATTTTTATGCCGTTAGTCACATTCAATGTGGTTTTCATGTAAATGGTTGAGTGAGGGGTAAGTAACAAGAGACTTTGTCCACTTTAGTTTTGTGCCTCAGTTTCTTTCATCTCATGAGTTTTGATAAGATAATTCTTTCCCGAAACTTTCATATACCCTACGAGTTAGCAGAAATAATTAGGGACCTTTGCACATTTTTTAATTCATACACGAGAATAGTTTTAGAGAACTTTGTATGAACACGCAGAACCGAGTATGATAATTACATGTGTCTGCAGTCTTTCTGTTATTTATTTGATTTGGAGTAGCATTTTATACACGATTGGCTTTGTTGTGCACAGCAAGGGTAATTACTGACAGAGAATCAGGGAGATCAAAGGGTTTTGGATTTGTAAGCTTCTCGAGCACAGAATCAGCCAGCTCAGCATTGTCAGCCATGGATGGCCAGGTCTGGGTCCCGACTCCCGAGCTTCTGTGAAAGTCAGTCGGAGGCTGTTGAACATCCTGATTTTCTTTTTTGGTATTGACTTGAACTTGTGTTTCAACAGGCCTTGCAGGGGAGGAACATCCGTGTGAGTTACGCGCAAGAGAGGGAGAGGGGTGGACCACGAGGAAATTTTGGAGGAAATTTTAGAAATTCTGGAGGAAACTTCGGAAATTCTGGAGGTTTTCGTGGCTATGAAGATGCTTGATTCTGGGTCGCCTTTAGTTTATTCTATTGTCTATAGATGCATGGCGGCTTTTATTTCATCAAGGACGAAATTTACATTGTTGTCTCTTTAGATGAATTTTGTGAACTTCTAGAATCTGTGCCTTTGCTTTCAATACTAGTATGGTTTCTACTTTCTAGTGCCTAATTCTGGTGGATTTGTGTCAAATATTGTCAGATGCATGTGTTCTACAGTCTGCTGATTCGGGTTCAGTTTTATCCGTAGGCAACTGAAGGAAAATCATGTTCATGTCTTTAGACATTTGCTCTGTTGGATAGCCGTTGTCAAGTGGGATTTTCTTCTCTGTTAGGCGCAGGATAAAACACAAAAAATGGGATGTTTTTTGTTACTAAGATTCTAAAACTATCACTCTGTATCGTACATAAGGTTTGGTTTTTTTTTAAAATTTTTTTTTTCAATTGCAGTATCTTGTAGTAGTTTTCAAAATTTCAGATGAAGTGAGCAAAGGTGACCAAATGAGGCGAATAAATGGCAACTAATTTTTTCTGAAGTCAGTTGTTTTGTGACCGGGTTTTGATGATGAGATGAAATAACTGCCTCAATTTCGTAAAACGAATATGTATGAAATTGAGACATTGAATCTGTAATGATGGTAACAATTGGCTGAATGTAATTTTTCATGCAATGTATTTGGTTTCCAGTGTGCCTGACAGCTTGTTTAACGTTATCTCCCTACATCCAAGTGTTGTCAATCTTGCAATCTTGCATCAGACTAGAAATGACATTTCTTGCTGGCCTACCCCAGCACACCTGGTGTCCAAATTAGCTTTGTCTTTATCCTCTTTTGTTGTTTGATTTGAAATTTTTTTTTATTCTTACGGAAACAATCTATGCTATTTTTATGTTATGGAGAAGGGGGAGCCCAATTAGATTTGTAAGAGGGTGGGGTTATGAACTTCTAGATTAGACAAGCGAAGTGGGAAAGGGAGAGTCCAACTAGATTTGTAAGAAGATTGAGTTATGAACTTCTAGATTAGACAAGTATACTATCGTATTCTTCGAATTTTTTTCAAAGAAAGGAAGCGCAATGCTTCCTTGCAATGTACTAAACTTCAACTAGTGTACGAGAGAGTTTTAAGAGGCTCCCTAGCCATTAGAGCACAGTCCAATGGATTTTTGTTCTTTGATTTTTATAATTTCCAATTGATAGACCCTCTGCAGCACTTGCTTATTCAAGGTGATGATTTTTGTTTTGTAAATCTTAAAATAGAGGAAAAAGTAAAAGAAAATTAATCCTTATCTGGACGTTTATAAGATTTTAGACAACTTTTCTCCTTGGGGTCATAAAGTGGGCAAATTGTCAGTTCAGTGGGCTTATAATGCACAGGCTGAGATGCTTGTTTTGGGAAGGATGAGCCCTTAACAGCACTCTGTTTCTCAACATTTCCAAATCAATAGAGTGAACTGTCATTCATATATTTCTCAGTGTCTATCTCAATGTTACAGATTGTCCTCTTCATATCTACTCATTATATCATGCCTAACATTACAATTGTTTAGTGACACTAGGAAAATGGCACTAAATCACTAATTTTTGGTGCCATCAAAAGTTAGCAAAAACTTTCTAATATCATCTGCGTTTCAGTATACATTTACATTTTTGAGATTTACTATTGTTTTGCAAGGTGTGTTGCAGGAGAGGGAAGACAAACTAGTTCATTTATTTATTTTGGTGGGGGAGATTGGGGGAACTCTTTTGTCGGTTAAATGTGTAAAAGTGATAAGATTGTTGATATTGCTGAATAGTGTAGATATGCATAGCATCTATCAATATCCTGTGAATATTTGTTACTTGGGCTACAAGTTGATAATGGAGAATAGGCATCTGAAAAAGAAAGAGAGAATGGTCCAAATACGTACACTGATCATGGTCCAGCCAGCTACAATGCATTCCTTTACTTATAAAATGAAAGTCCAAGTTTGAATAGATTTACCACTATTGCTTTTCTCCCTTCCTGTGGTTTACATTGGTCACTTATACCTCTTAATATCAACAACTTATATCAATAGTATTAAAACTTTAGATTTTTTTTGTTACACCGATAATATATACGTTAGCAGTTTTTGATGCATGACACGTGCACAGAACTTAAAATTTAAAATCAAAGTGAGACTAATTGTCATACATCCAAAATTGTTAATATATACACCGTTAATATTAACAAAGAAGATTAGTCGCAAAAGTTATACAAATACATGTGCTTGTATTTGCACCAACAAATATATGTCCCACAGACTTTTTTTTTTTTTTTTGTGGAGCCCTAAAAAGAATATCAGCTAGGACTTATGGCCTTTATAATTGGAGCAATGCCATTCAATGATGGAAGACTTCTTGTGCCACCGAAGTGTCGGCAAGTCTTGGAAATGGACTTCCAATTTCATTCACGTACGTACGACACAAGAATACTGTGGAAACTTGTATATTTTGGTGGTTGAAAAGTCTTTATCTTTGTGTATAATAATCAATCTGGTCGAGAATTTGTAAACGAATATGCATTTTCGTTGGCATCCAATAGATTGAATTTCTAAAACATCCCACAAAATTTATCCACGCGTCAGACCGAATTATTGTCAGTATGAATTAAGAATATGGAGTAGATAATTTGTTTTAAGAGCAAATTACTTGAGTAGCTACTATACGTTTTCAATAGTTAAAATTTGGTTGCTCAACTGTTAATAATATGTTTTTATCCACTAAACTATCAAAAGTGTGAATTTTGGGTCATTCTGTCTGATTCCTCCGTCAACTCTATCAGATCTACACGTCCACACAATTATTAATAGTTAGATCTGATAGACTTAACAGCGAAATTACATGAAATGGTCCATAATTTCACTTTTTAATAGTACAGTGAATGAAAATATACTATTAATAGTTGAACGGCGAAAACTAGACTACTCAAAAAGTTTAATGATTCCCCGAGTAATTTGCTCTTTGTTTTAACAACGTAACATGGGGTAGCTTTCATGAGTAATTTGTTAACAACGGATGGTCATGCTCTTAGACAAAATAAAATCAACTCCAATATAAACTCCACTAATCCTAATTACATATAGTCAATTATTAGTTGGATAACGATCTAAGTAGGTCCCTCCAAGCTAATTATTTCCACTTTCCACTTAATCACAGGTTGGTTATTGGTGCCATATTTGCACGCCAAATTAAATCGGTTTGGATGCAAATTCTTGTCAGATTAATTGCAGTGCAACATAGTAAATTCAACAGCAACCGACATGTACTTCTCTGTCGGCACTGGAAATCAGGTCGGCCGGTCACTTGAGAATGTTTCAACTTTCAATGCTACTGCTTCTTGTGCTTGTTTTTCTTTGCCTATGATTAGGTATCATGGTGCCCTAGGAATGATTAGACAAAATTTTTTTTGGTAGAGTTTCTGTTAGGGCAAGAAATAAACAGCTAGGTCCAAAAGTTTTGACTTCATTACCTGACGCGTCTAGTGATAAAGGTCAAATGTTAATTACTAGTTTTTTTAGTACAACATTTTTTAAATTGAACGTCGTATACTAGGAGGAAGGGGAGGAGGACGTGATGCGAATGAATCCAACTAAATTATTGAGAACTCGAAAAGTACTAAATCACCTCTAAAAATGTTTCAAGAAACCCTGAACGGGAAATGCAGACAAGGGGTTTCAACATAAAGGATCAAAAGGATAAGATATATCTAATGTCTACGTCAAGCTCTATAAGACAAAAAGTGACCGTAAAATGCAATTGACGGTGAGGATTGGTTTGATTTTGCAATTGGATTGAAGGAATTGATCAGATATATAACTTTCAATGAGTATGACAATTTGTTGCGTTTTTGCATTTTTAATAGTATTTATATTTGTTGTTTTTGTATCTACCTCTATTGTTTAGTGTGTTTGTTATACTGTGCCATTGTGACTAGCATAGTAAAATTCCCAAATCTAAAGAAATTGCCATATGTAGGAATGTACTGAATTAAGAGTAACTATACTTTGATTTCAGGTGGATACAATAATTCAGCATGATCAGTGCATTATACATGCAATAAGAACCAGAAAGTGGAAAACCTTATGTAGTAGTAGCATAAATGAAGGGTATTTATAGACGTTGTAAATGATTGTTATGCCCCACTAATTAAGGTACGTCTCAAAGATCCATTGGTTGAAATTAGACCAATTATTAGCTTGTGACAGACCATCTCTTCTTTAATTGCCAAGTAGAGTATTGAACCTCTCAGCTTCAGGATTTTCTATTTAACTTTTCCAAATTGTGTAACCATGAAGTTTACACCATATTTAATCGCATTTCTCAATAATGCTGTTTAACTGGAGAAAAGACAAGGTTATATTGAGTTACTAGTGTAAAATTGCCGCAATTGTATTTCTTTTTTCATGTATGACAGAGCCAAAACAATTTCTAGAAATCTTGTAAGATATTCAGCTATAGTCTACAATTCTTTATCATGTCAAAATTTGTTTATTGTAGGGGTAGGTTTTTAGGGTCTTTCCTGCTGCTAGATTCAGGATTCAAATCCTATGCGTGGCAGGTGAAAATTGAAAGGATGTGAGAAGGGGTAGAAGAATTAACAGAAAAGTGTTTATTGTTAAATTTTGGCTTGGGAGTATTTTCCAGTTAACTCAAAAAAATATATGGTTCTTCCTCTGCCATCCAGAGTTAATGGAGTATACATCTAGTCATCCACAACCCTTTTCTTCTAATTTTCAATATAATCAATCAAACTCTTACTTCAAAGTTTAAACACCTTACCTTAGCGCCTTTAAACATAGACGAGGCATCTCCTAGAACCAGAGTGTGAATAAATGAGATTAGTATTTAACAGGCAAGACTAAGTTTGGTGATTATTTACGGGAGAATAGCAAAAAGTAGACTGTTTTGATTAATCTGTAAGATTATGTGTAGATTATACAGTGGTCACTGAGTGGCATCTGACAGAAATGCTATTGAAGATAATACTAATTTTGCTGAAGAAATATATCAAATTAGGCCACTAATATGTTCAGAAACATTTGTTTGGACTTTATAGCAAAAGGGTTTTTTTTGGTAAAGCATTTTTTATAGTTCTTGAATTCATAAGACTGGTTAATAGTTTTTTTGTACTTGATAGGATAAGGTTTGAACATTCAAAGTACAAAAGTTTTTTTTTTTTTAATCTTTTTTCAAAAGTTGATCATCTTTAGCTTTTGCTAAACATGAATTTTATGAATGCATTTTTGAGGGTTACGTTTGATAGATATTACCTC